CCATATGATTTCACTCACAGGTGGAATTTAAGAAAACAAGAACTAAGAAAAAAAAAGGCAAACCAAAAAACAGACTCCTATATCAAGAACAGATGCTTCCAGAGGGGAGGCAGATGGGGGCAGGGGGGGGGGGGGGGGGGGGGGGGGGGGGGGGGGGGGGGGATGGGTGAAACAGGTGAAGGGGATTAGAGCACACTTACCATGATGAGCACAGTGTAACGAACAGAAGTGCTGAATCACTATATTGTACACCTGGAACTAATATAACACTGTATGTTAACTGTCCTGGAGTTAAAATAAAAACTAAAGTTCCTTCTAAGAAAGTAGAGTAAAATGTTAAAACTTCGGTCTCTACATTTTAATATTTTCACAAGTGGAACACACACTTTCACTGCATCCCTCTTGAGAGCAGGAATAGTACGTTAATTGTCATTTTAGCTACAGTAACCGGTACAAAAGAGACGAGCTGTGCTTCGTATCAGGCTATACTTTTCCAGAATGAAAGTAAAACCTTCATATAAATATATATGAGGTGGAAAGAGGTCTGGCCCTGGAGTACAGACACGGGCTCTCACAACACATACAGCCTTGCCTTCATGCATCCTAAGACTTCATTTCCCTTTAAAGGTCTACAATGTGGGGTGCCTGGGTGGCTCAGTTGGTTGAATGTCCAACCTCAGCTCAGGTCATGATCCCGCTGCTTGGGGGTTTGGGGGTTCGAGCCCCCATGTGGGGCTCTGTGCTGACGGCTCAGAGCCTGGAGCCTGCTTTGGGTTCTGTGTCTCCCTCCCTCTCCGCTCCTCCCCTGGTGGTGCTCAGTCTCTCTCTCTCTCTCTCTCTCTCTCTCTCTCTCAAAAATAAACAAACATTAAAAAAGAATTTTTTTAAAAGTCTACAATGTAAGTCTGTAATGCCCTTTTATCTGATATCAGACACCCACCCAGAAATACTGAAAATAAGGCCTTTGAGTGACAAAATGAAAAAAAGTTTTCCACAAAATCCATGCATGCACTTTATCCATAGCAGAGGCCTACTGATTTTTATTTCATGTGTATTTATAACAAACTTGGTTATCTGGTTATGAAATATTTCCCATTGTTGGTTAAAAGCAGTAAAAGAGATCAGATGTTGAAAGAAAGAGAAACTGGAGAAACCCTAAAGGTTCTTCTTCCTGATGGATGAAACGAAACCAAACCTTCCCCAAAAAGATCAGATTCAATCCAAAATCATTCTATGGCCTAATATCACTGAACACTTGACAAACATCATTCATTGTGGTCGTCTCTCTTATACCAAAATTAGCCTCAATTCATGATTAATTTAATTCAATCTTATAATAAAACAGAAGGAATGCTCGGCAAATACTGCAGGCTAGTGGTACCCACCATTTCCCTATCAATAACCTGACAAGAAATGATAAAGTCCTTTTATAGTTCACTTTTCCTTACAAGTAATGTCTTCACTGGCAGTCTTATTTTTTTCTCTACAGAATATTAACGGAATCACAAAGGCTATCTAATTTTTTTTTTAACGTTTATTTATTTTTGAGACAGAGAGAGACAGAGCATGAACGGGGGAGGGGCAGAGAGAGAGGGAGACACAGAATCGGAAACAGGCTCCAGGCTCTGAGCCATCAGCCCAGAGCCCGACGCGGGGCTCGAACTCCCGGATCGCGAGATCGTGACCTGAGCTGAAGTCGGAAGCTTAACCGACTGAGCCACCTAGGCGCCCCAAGGCTATCTAATTTTAGTCAACACAAAAGTTGGCTTTGAGTTACCTAAGAGGAATTTTACATATAGAAACAAAGTGGATTATTTTACAGAATTCATTTTACCCCCAAGAATGCTACCATACTTTAAAGTACTATAGAGTTACTATTTGCCAATTATAGGTAATCAACTCCTTCAACAAGTGACTGTGTCTGCCAATTCTGATCCTTAAAGCACACAGAGTACCACAGTCATCAGAATATTCACCAAATATTTCAGACACTGGCTTGGAAATGACTTTTATATATATCAGTAATGGAAATCCAAACGCACGTGATTATTTTGTAAAGTTAAATACATCAAGAATTTTAAGAACCCGGAGCAAATTCTATGTTCACTAGAGGCAATATATGATAGAAAGTAATTTATGATGTGATGTTAAATGAAAATATCAGGATAACATTTATATTAAAATATTATATGTAAAATATAAATATAAATAATATACATTTTATATATTGAATGTATTAATTTTATGTGCATATACAATCCCAGACTTCAAGCTATACTACAAAGCTGTAATCATCAAGACAGTATGGTACTGGCACAAGAACAGACACTCAGATCAATGGAACAGAATACACAACCCAGAAATGGACCCCCAAACGTATGGCCAACTAATCTTTGACAAAG